CTCTTTCTCCTTTTCCAACATCAAGTCATCTAACAGCATCAAGATCGCAAAAAGAAAGCGGAAGCCTTTTGTTTCAAACACCACAAGAAGTTAATATACAGAAGAAAACAACACTTACAATAAGCCAGATAAAGAACTTGATTGACAAAGTCATATAAAGCATAATAGTCTTTAAATGAAAATGGAAATGAAGAAATACAGACTATACTTCTGTGAGAGGGAAACAAGACCCATGCAGTGATGGATATTTTAACGGATTCATAGACAATGAGGTATTTCTCAAGTCTAAACAACTTTTCCTATTAGGATGGGCAAATAGCGCATTATGTCTTTCTGGTCTTGTTCCCAGTCACTTAAATAGACAGAATTTGAGGGCATACAAGTAAACAGGCCATTCCTCATGACACAGAAGGGACAGATTTTTCTGTATTCCACATCAGAAACATAATACCAGATAACTAGCATTTGTAAGAGAAACTAAGAGAACATCATGGATCTATAATCCGCCTGTATGTTAAAGTCTCCATGTAAAATCTCCATAAAATTTGTCAGATTAAAGTAATGGAGTATGTGTGGGGGGAGGGGACAGTAGGGTTAAAAATGTTGGAAAAATGTATTACAAGCCAAGATAGGAAAGTTTTGAAAGCCTTTTCCTGAAAACTGAGGTCTGAGACTTTGTTAAAATCTACTGGAAGCTCACAGCCCTTATCTCACAAACAGGTACTTCAGAACACCATGCATCTGATGCCTTAAAAAGTACAGTTAAACCACATATAAGTAAGTTGTTAATTAAATGCCACTGATGGGTCTTGTTTAATTCATCATTATCTTTCTGAAGAACCTATATTTTTACAGTTCTAATAATAGGCAATGCATTTGGGGTTTTTTTGTTTGTTTGTTTTGTTTGTTTTTTTTACAAGATACTTCAAATACTTGTGGGTCCATGAAGACATTAAATAGGCCCACTTAAATAACTGCAATATCCTGTATCTCCACATTTTAACTGTATTCAAATGTTGCTTACTTTGACCCGTATGAAGTATGAGGGAGATATTAAAAGGAAGGCTAACGAAATTAAGATTTAGAACATTATACGTTTTTCTATTTGTATTTCAGAAACTGTCTTCAGATATAAATGATGTCTTTATATCAAATATTTAAAAATAAATAAATCTTTGATTATAAATCTGTTATGATTAATTAGGCAAGTTGTCTGTCAAAGGAGCTATGCACTAATAAGCTTTTATTTTAATTTTTAAAGTTTTTCTTGTTGTATTAGTGATTTAATCCTCTTACCATATCACTTTTTATGAAGAAGTTAAAGACTACTCAAGATTTTTCAATTGTTTAAAGTGAAGAATAAGAAACTGAATTCAGTTGTGATCAGTCTCAGAGACAACAGAGGTGAACAAAATGAAATGGAAAATTAATATTTTATATTGTCACAGAAGTTCCACATTTATTCCTAAATTTCTCACAGCTTATCAAATTCTTTTTTTCATTTCAGCAGAATAAATAAAAATTTGATGCATACCAAATATGAAATTGATGAGGGGTGCTTTCAATACTTTTCCCTTGTAAGCTACACTATGTGGATTACATTCCTTTAAAAGAATTCTCTGCAAAGGGAATTTGCAGGAACACTACTGTTGCCCCATATTTCATTCGGAACACAAGACGAAATGGTATCACTGGCCTCAATGGTTTGTTTTTCCATAGGAAAGGTAAATTAAAACAACTGAAATTACCTCTAATTTCTAAATCCTGCTATAAGATTTTACTGCTTCTGTCCTAGCTGTAGTGAAAGAAGTGGAGAACGAGGAGAGCACAATAGACTGACTAAGCCAAAAAAAAGTCAGCAAACTTGGGTAAGAGCTTTGAGTAGATCTTTTCCCACGACTCATACTTCCAAAGACATACTCAAACACCAGAAAATTACTTTTGAGATGTAAGAGGCAATGATTATACACTTTGAGAGACAAAACTTTTGGCAAGAGAGACCACGATGTAAACACCAGACACCACTTTTCATGCTTATTGAATTGGCAAGAGACCTTCTGAGTTTTTATATAAACTCTGTCTGCACTTGTCAATAGTTGCAGTTTCAAACCACAAACAAGGGACAGCTGCAGTTCAGTGGAAGAAGTCTCCTACATCCAATCTTGTAAACACACTTTTAAGATACTTAAACTGGAATAAAAAAAACTGTAGGCTTTAGAAACCGTACCTCAGATTCAGCCAGCTGGTACAGATTAGAAAATGGCACAGACAGAATTAAAGTACATTCATTAGTGTTTGTCATTATTGCTGTAAATTTGTGACCTTCTACACCTTAAAGCATAGGGGGCTCTTTATTTTGGCATTTGGTCCTCAAAAGTGAAGAGACAACTCAGAGACATAAAGCAGTACTTCATGCTATATAGAAATAAGCAAAGGTTATATGACTGGACAGTCTTGGACATGTGTTGCAGCAAATGAGGATGGAAAGAAAAAAAAAGTGCCAGAGAAAATTAACTGTATTGCCATAGATTTCCTCACATGAAAATCTTGCATTGAGGTTACTTATTTTCAGGTCAATTAACTATATTTTACAATTTCAAAATATAGATTTAATAACAAACTAAAAGCAGTTCTGCATTTTAATACATTAATGGAGATAGCGTATCAAAGACAAACAAAACACCACAGCCCTCTCCTTTCAAACTGAGCCTTCCAAAACCAATAAGGGCTTGAAAAAAAAGACAATTTACCCTGGATATTGTCAACTAATGCAGAGCTCTGTTTGTGTTAAGGTTAAGCTCTTACAGTTACAAAACCCCCTTCCAACTGCAAACTGTTAATTAACTTAACGTGGTCTTCTCAAAGGTGAAGACATACTACTACTGCGCAAAGCTTCACCGTACAGATGCAAAATGAAATTAAGAGGGCTACTGGGTTTTGCAGCTGCTCTCCAAAATGTGAGGGGATAAGAATTAAAATGTACAATGCCAGACATCTAGATAAACAGAGTTAAAACCAAAACAAGTACCACAAAACTTCACAGCAATCCAAAAGTTACAATCCCGAGCTCCTCCCTAAGCTATTCATGCTTCACTGTTACTGTCTCCCAAATTCTTGAGAAGTTCTGTTTAGCTTACATAGCAAGCCTTGAGTACAAACACTCCCCTCCCTGCAACAATACTGGGGACAGATCCAAACAGGTGCTCCAAGGACAGCCAAGCCTCTTTCGCACACTTCTTTTCCAGTACACATGTACTAGTGATGGTACTCCTAACTTAAAGGTTTCTCTGGCAGAGCATGCTGTTTCCGAAGGGCTGAGCACAGATGTCTAAGGAATGAGCACAAGAAGATGGGAGGTGTGAACAATGCTGTCTGAGTATTTTCCCCAGCTCCAGCTACCAGACATTAGGGATTCCTAAGATTTGCATGCCCAGAACCATAGGATGCACCCAAACCCACATAATTAAATCCTTATCCCCCATGGGATTGTCCAATTTACTTTTGAAACCACTATGGTTTTGTCTTCCAAAGTATCTTTTTGCACTAAGTTCTGCAATGTACATCCTTACTTTCTTCATCCCTTTTATCACATCCCTTCTCCAGAATGAGCAGTACCAATCTTATTTACCCTTTCTTCTTCCAGAAGCCAGCCCAAGCCTGTCATTCTTCTCCATACCTCTTCCTCTTCTACTAAATCTTGGAACAGAGTCCAAAAGGGCACACAATATTCAAGATGGGGATTTATAATGTGGTATATTTGAGCCTTCTCTTTTGTTCTCTGCTCCTTTTCCATAATATTGTCTAACAATTTATTTGGGTTTTTGTTGTTGTTGTGTGTGTTTGTTTTTTTTTAAACTAGCACTGAGCAGATGTTTGCAGAAAGCTACCCAAAACAGACCCAATGCCCTTTTGCTGAGCAGTAACATGTAGTCGGGAACCAGTCATTGTCCAGGCACGGTTTTATGTTTTGCTATAGGCATAGTTTCGCATAGAAGTCTGTTTTGTCCCCTCCTCATTGCTTGGCATTAATCTGTGCTGAAAGTAATCTCTCATTTTAATGATGAAATCACTCAGTATTTTCAGATATGTCTGCAGCACTCACAAGGAGTTGCAGGGACCCATGCCTTCCCTGTACCCTCATGCACTAACCATGTCCTCTCCTATCCTAAGTGACGAAATGATTAATAAGAAGCGCCCCACTTGAATAAGCAAATGAACAAACACCAGCAACAACAATTTCTTAGTGTTAACTGCAAAAATAACACTGTAATTGTAACTGATTACAACTCAAGTACCGGAGAGGGAAAAATATGATCTGCAAAACTGACTGGGAAAAAAATATAATTTTAAAATTAAAAAAACCCCAAACCCAAAACCAAACAAAACCAGTGCTAGAAGTAAGTTGTATTTTTTCCAGAGTCCTTTCTATACTTTCACTGCTTTATAGTCCCCTGTATATATAATCCACAAGATTTCACATCAGTTGTCCACTGCAGGTTGCCTCATGTTCCCTTTCTGCCTACGAACAATAGTGTTTTGCTACATGTTCATACATACTAGCAAGCTCTGACTGTAAATAAACACTGTTAAGCTTTTCCAGTCTTAACTCTGCACTACATCAAATATTTCACACAATGAGACACCAACCCCA